CCAATCCTAGGCACAAATACAAACTGGGCACAGAGTGGGTTGAGAGTAGCCCTGAAGAGAAGGATTTGGGGGTGCTTATAGATGAGAAGCTCAACATGAGCCGGCAATGCGCTCATGCGGCCCAGAAGGCCAACCGCATCCTGGGATCTATCAAGAGAAGCGTGGTCAGCAGGTCAAGAGAGGTGATTCTCCCCTTTTACACTGCTCTTGTGTGACCCCACCTCGAATACTGCATCCAATTTTGGTGTCCCCACCATAAGAGAGACATAGATCTGTTGGAACCTGTTCAGAGGAGGGCCACAAAGACGATCCAGGGGCTGGAGCACCTCTGCTATGAGGACAGGTTGCGGGAGCTGGGATTGTTCAGCCTTGAAAAGAGAAGACTTCGGGGGGACCTAATAACTGCCTTCCAATACCTCAAGGGAACCTACAGGAAGGCTGAGGAGGGACTTTTTACAAGAGTGTCCACTGATAGGACAAGGGGAAATAGGTTTAAGTTGAAGGAGAACAGATTTAGATTAGATCTTAGGAAGAAATTCTTCAGTATGAGGGTGGTAAGACTTTGGAATAAATTGCCCAGAGAAGTTGTGGATGCCCCCTCCCTGGAGGTGTTCAAGGCCAAGTTGGACAGAGCATTGAGTAGCCTGTTCTAGTTGAGAAGTGTCCCTGCTCATGACAGGGAGGTTGGATTAGATGATCTCTAAGGTCCCTTCCAGCATATGCCATTCTGTGATTCTCTGTCTAGGAGGAACTCATTTGCAAAGTATAGTACAAAGAAAATCCCCAGCAGATGTATTGTGCTTTTCTCTGTCATCACCTTCAAGGTTTTAAGGCACTATAGGATTATTGTCCAATACACACACCTGAGACTAGACAGATTCGGATCCAGTGCAGCTCCAGCTGGTATTTTTCTTCCTCTATTTAAAGTATATTAATTTACATCAATTGTAGGGCACATCAACAAAATTAGTAAGCTGGATAGTGAGAACATGTTTCATCTTTCAGCTCCATCCTTCCCTCCCACCAGTTGTTACTGGAGTGGCACTCTTCTGAGTGATCCTGCTGCGAGCCAACAAACATTAGCGATGGCAGCGCTGTGCCAAAGAGTGGAACCGCAGTGCAATGCAGAGCCTCTTCGGGAAGCTGATGCTAAAGAAAGTAGCACAGGCCCATGTTCAAGAAATGGCACTTCTCCTACTAAGGATTAATTTTTAAAAATTTTGTACAAACTCTAGTCAAATGGTAGTTGATTAGACTGAGGCTATGTCATGGGAAGTGCAGGGCTGTTTCATGTCTGCCACTTCTGCGCTGTTCCTGCACTCAAGGCTTGGAGAACTCCTGAGCTGAGTGGGCTGCAAGGAGTCACGGCAGGATCTGACCTGCAAGCGTTTTAGATTCTGATATATGAGAGACCAGTTCAAACATTGGCCCTTAGTAATAATCCTGGAAGAGCAGCAGCCATACAAATCTCTTTTTATGTTTTCCTTTCATTACTAGGTAGAAAGGAAAAGAATAGTTCAAAGCCTGAAGAAAGAGCTGAACATCCCAAACCAACCAGACCCTTCCATCAGCTGTAAGGGCCCACGGCAACAGGACGCCAGCATTCCTGGAACATGCTTTTAACCTACAACTTTCGGCATTTCAGAGAGCATTCAAAATTAGTTAGGACAGCAAACTAGATTTTACACCAATTACAATGTAAACCTTGGGCAAACAGGAAAATGAAGAAGAGATCCAGCTAATGCAGCTTCCTGTGATGTAACACAATATCACTATGGCAACAATCAGGTTAACATGCTAAGAACAATACCAGAACACCAAAGACAGCATTTTTACAGGGACTTTCACTATCAGAAGAGAAAGCCAGATACAAACGTCTTTTCGTTCGTTATGGACAGCTGGCACTGACAAAACACGTCCTATGCAATCCTCTCACCAGGAATTCTGATGAGGCATTTTGATTTTTTCCTACGGCATGCTTGATTTACAGAGAGGTCAGAAATTAAATTTTCGATACAGCTTTCAAAATCTTACATGAACTGTAACCTGAAGTCTCATCAGTGGGCAATAGGATATAGAATATTAAGGTCCACTTTCAAATGATTTAGGTATTAATCTAAGTAACTCAAGATCTCTTGAAAATCTTAACTTATATTAGCTCATGTGCCAAAAATGTAAGATTAGCTAATACTATAATGCGTACCAGCTATTGAAAAATAACAGGCATTGTAATCTTTCAAAATGCAAACATTTCACTTACTGAAATCTAAAGGCTTATAAAATACAAACATGGCCAAGTTGGAAAATACGTATTTACTAATAGCCTCAATCCTTTATTTTGGTGATGATATTTACTTACTTCATTAGACATAGTTGTTTAAATTTGTCTGGTTAAGATTAGACAGCTTTCTAAAGATAGTTGTTTTTTCCACACTCCTCTCCAAGTGGGACACTTTTCAAGGCATCAGATTAAAATAGAAAAACAATGATTGGGATAAAAAAAAAACCCACACCAGTTCTGTTTTGTTGTTTTTTTTTCTATTGTCTGCTACCAATGCATTTTCATACCCATGCTTCTACCTCAAGAGAGTTAATTTTTTTAAAAAGTTGCTACAATTCTGCACATGATCCCTAAATAATTTGAAGATAACAAAATCTTATCTGAAATAATTTAACTGTTATGAGCAGCTTTGTTGGTATGTTGACAGTAGATGAGGCAATCAAAATGCATCCTTTAAGACGGGCCTCTTTCAGTCTCTCTGGAAGATGCCTCTAGGCATAATGCCACAAGGATTGTTTTCATTACCTAATACGAGTTAACAAACAACTAGAGATGTTTAAGAAAAAGCCACAAGATCTACTGATCTGACCCCAGCCATAGATATACCTAGTTACTGGAGGATAGCTTGTATATAAGGCTTTTGTTCATTTGAACTATATGGAATGTTTTGTTTTGTGTTATTCTGTTAGACTTATTTGAGACAAATGCTAAATTTCTTTAAAGGTCTTTCAGTTAGATCATGAGTGGATTATTTGCTCTCATAAACTGCATTCTAATGGACAATGCTGTAAACAAGGCAGAATAATGGTATGTATATGTATATGTAAACAGAGAAAAAACACAGCTTTGAGTGTAAAACTAACTCCACTTCAGTTCGAATCTTACCTTTATATCATTAGAAAAGCACTTATTATACTTTGAAAGTTAAACTTTGAATAAAATTATTGTCTTTGAGTTCAGGAATCTTTTTCAAGGAGCACAAAACACCATTACCTGTTTTCGTTGAAAGGAGAAACATCTTTCTGATAGAAGAATAATGTGAAAATGCCTCTCTGCTGTGCAACTTGGAGCCTTAGGGCACTACTGCTCACGTATGGGAGCTCGATTTTCCTAATACCTGGCCTGGGTAGGCAGGCATAAGCAATATGGATTATTGGAAAGTAATTTCTGTTCAGCTGGATGATCTTTGATTTAGTTGATGTCACCCTTTTCTCTTGCACAGCGTTGCACTGTGCCACTGAGCAAGCCTGCTTAGACCTTTGAAATTCACGAGTACAATCTTGTTGTGGTGAGCTTATTTGTAATGAATCATCTTAAATTCAAGTGCACTATCATCAACTAGATAGAGTTATTTTCTTGTATTATATATTTTCTTATATTATTTTCTTATATGGATGACACCAGAATCTAAATGCTATTTCTAGGTGAGGTACCTTCTTTTGGGATCTCAAATAGGATTTTTCTTGAATGAAAGGAGGCTAACTCAGGGCATTCTATGCAGATATTTCTTGACACCTGACCATTTCTCCAACACATCCACTTTCATTACGTCACATAGAAGTCTGCAATGATTTTCATATAAAGTGACACATTTGAGGTCAAGCATGGTCAGGGTGAAGGGTGACCAGCAATCAGTAGACAGTCGTTACAGGTAGAGTGAGCACAGTTTGTTGTTATGATGTCTTTTCTGGCCAGGTGCGTAGTGCCCACTCCCAGTTTGCTGCGGATTACTGGCTGGCCGAGGGCCATTTTGCAGGGGCGAAGATTAACATTGTAAGACCTTTGGCTATGGTGAAAGTCAGCACATACAGGGAAGAACAAAGAGATGGAGTGGCAGATGTTTAGTTTCAGGGAGAACAGACAGTCCTCCCTCACTTTGTTCACATCAGGTCTCATCCTCCCTCGCACAATGTTATTCCTTCTGGAAGAAGAGATACCAAGACAAAGTGCACTGGACCTGTACATTGGATGCAGCTTATATCTGGTTTTATATTTGGTTTTGCACTTACAAATGAAGTCATTGCTTCCTTTTCAATCATCCAATAGTGTGTGCCTCATTATTCCTGGAGCCTAGTATTTTTAGAGACACTTAGGTGAGTTTAGTTTCTGCTTGTAAATCACCCTCTGGTACACAGGAAAAATGGCAACAATGAACTACATGGTAACCGCTTTTTCCATGGTTTAATTTTTTAACAGATCTATGAAGAATTATTTACAGAAAACTCTACAGAAGATCAATTATATCTCTTCCTTCATTATAATTCCACAAGTTTGAGTGACTATTTGTATTAGTAAATATTCAAGAATGAGCTCTGCAGAACCCATATATCGTTAATCATTGGATAAGAGAAAATGGTACCATCCATATAGTTCTGAAATTTATTTCACAATCTGGTTTTTGATTGTGAGTTATTCTGAGTTGTGATTAAGTCCACACAGATTTACTGCACCTTACAATTTTCTTTTTGCTCATCTTGCTCATGCAGTCCTTGTTCATTTAGAGAATTTTTGGTTTTGTCCATCGGACGACTCTCCTTAGTATTACCAGAGACAGTTTTTGTGGATTGCTTCTGCGGGCAAAGTGGCGACCTTGAAGTAGGTTTCATTGGTGGAAAAGCTTGAGACTGCTGTTCATCATTTACCTGGAATACAAACAAAAATGTCCTGTTTTACTGGTAATGGAAAACCATATTAGCTTTCTGCAGTAGGTCAAAAGACTTATTGTAAAAGACTAAATATTGGGAATTTACAAAAACATTTACATACACATTGAAAACAGGAAAAAATATTTTGAAGACATTTATCACATTGAATATAAAATACAGTGAGACTTGACATCAATCAGTTTGGTGTGGTGTTAAGATGGAATATCTGTGACACAGTTGGCAAACTATTTGCTAGGAGCAGAAAAAAATTAAGCCAGGAACAGACAAGTAAATCTGTTTTCCAAGGTACCAGGTGTTGCGTACTGAGATCTGTATTTCATTTTTCCTGTACATATTCTGCAAACATAAAACATAATTGTCACTTTTTTTGCTGACATCTGGACAGAAACCACTGCTTTTACATTTTAACTGATGTGTGGTCACAACACTTAATTTAAATTCTACATTAAATTCACATAGGAAAGTGAATAAATTTGCATATGAAAATGACAGGGCACATATAAACACCTTGAGAAATTTGCAACAGTTTGAAACTGGCTGTCTGAAATGAAGTGCACATAAGTACCTGTCAAAGAGAAGGAAACAAGGCTTATTTCACTTCTAAAATAAGACACACCATTTACTGCATTAATATAAAGCATGAAACAACATGTTTCGGTGTTTTCAACCAATGATGAAACGATATCATGAGCAATTCCTCCAGAAATTCCCAGATGTATGTCATCTTGAAATAAAACAAACACATATATCCAGCAATGTCCAAGAGAGAAGGGCACGAATTCCTGGAACTGATGACTTCTGCATATGTACACTTGGGAGAAAAAACAACCTCAAAATTCTGATTTCTCCTATAAAGCTGAAGGTAAGCAGTAGCTTGTCCTTAGACCTAGACAATACAAGCTTAGGCAAAGAGGAGGACTGTTTGGGAAATCCCTCCTCTAGGTAAATTAAAAACAATTTCTTACTGATTATTTGTTAATTGCTGTAACCTTGACTATAGACAGCAAGAGCCTGCAAGCAGCTTATACCATGCTGGCAGGTGATCACTACACAACATTCTGTAGCCAAGGCTTCCTTTCTTTTTTGCACTACTGAGTTTCTTCACAAGCAACACCCTCCATTTGTGTCAAAAACATACATAAACGAATGTCAATAAAAATTATTGGCATCACTTAATGAAACAGTAATAAAACACAGACCTCCAGGCAATGTCTGTAAGAAACAGAAAATTTTGGCAAGTAGGGTAATTAACCCTTTAAACAAAATACATTAATTCAGTGGATTCACTCTCACTTCAAAACACAGACTCCCTATTGCTACAGCTCAAAACACATTATGGCTCTGGCCTGACTTGTCTTCCCAATGGTGCTGTCTGACCTCAAAATCTATACTTCCACTAAACTATGTGGCTCTTGCCTTTACTTACTTTTGGTATCTTGCCAACATACTTCATGTGCTAACACAAAATAAGTGCTTTTTTTTTAAATAAATAAATAAATAAATAAAGAGTTGAACTCTTGCTTTATGGCTTCACTTTTGGCTGTGCAGCAGACTCCTCTGATTGCCAAGAGAAGCTTTTGTGTAACATGGCAAACTGGAAGCGTTTTTATCTACCGCATACCGATCTATGTAAAGCCCTATGTAAAGAAGTATCAATATATAATAACTATTCTCTTATTGCTCAGGTTGAGATAGCATGGTTAAAAATTTTGGAGGAGATTTCAGACAACAAAAGGTTTACTTCTGTCCTAAAGCTGGAACATTTTTCTATAATCTGCAAAGCATTTGCATCAGCTTAGAAAGAACGCCTTATTCTGATCTGTGAAACATTCAGCAGTGTGTCATATTAACGTAGACACTTGCAACGTTAATGCAAACTTCAGTTACTAAACTTTTTTTTAAATAAAAATCAGCTTTCAAAACCTAACTCTAGTTATACTAAAAATAGTATTTATTTTTTTAGATAACCTTAAAATCTAGTAAGCACTAACATTAAAGTCGAGTTTACCATCTAAATGTTCCCTGTTTACATGTTTAACAGCCTCTCAATATCTGTAGTTATTTTATAGCATCTCAAATCTGAACTTCCAAAAAAAATTGTTAGCAGAAAACTTTAAGCCTCAGCTCAAGACTCCCAGAGGTTAATTCTTTTGCTGTTTACTTTTTGTGAAACCTCAGAAACCACAGTATAAGGAATATCTGCTCTTTAATATCCTTTATAAGAAATTGAAAATTTACCTGCAAAGTTAGCTCTTCTCTCAGTGGATTTCCCTGTGAAGTCACAAATTACATCACAGGAACAATTTGCAGATTGCTAGCACAGTCAAGACATCTGTCATGTTATAGTGATTCAGTATTTATGATCTTATCTTCAATGCATTACTAAGAAATGTAAAAAATGATGATACATTCTCAAATTTACTTGGCAAGATGAATACAGTTAGTGAATATATTAGTTTTCCCCATAGCTTTCATATGCAGATAAATTTTTTTAAAGTTACCTTTTGTGGTTTGCTGCCACCAGCTGTCGAACAGGAGCGCTCACCAAGATTATCTAGTCCACATTTTTGTACATCTTGTGTAGGCAAAGGCAATTTCTCACTTGCAGGAGCCAGACGGGGACTGGTTCTTAGATTTAGGGTTGTTCTACGTAAAATGTAAGGGCTAACCTTTCCAGTGGGAATATCAGCAAACCCTGAAAAATTAACAGCTTCTATTAAAACCAGCTAAATAAGACACTTTCTCAAATGGACCTTCTCTTTTTTCACAATGGGGATAAAAATAGCTGATTAAAATAATTAAGTTGTTCTATTGAAGAAAATGGATCAAAAAGATTGCTGAACAGATCTTGTGTATTACAAAATTCATATGCAAGCCTTGGAAAATGTACACGAGGTACAATAGTAATTATATAGCAAAGCTTTTCAAACAAGTCTTTGGTCTTTTTCTTTACAGGTACATTATTATCTGGAGAATAATTTCAGTCTGAAAACATGTACTGGTTTTACTAGAATTCAGTCAGAACACACTACTATGACATGATATTCTCCATTTTTCACATTTTTCTCTGTATAGAACTATAGCGTTTTGATTGTCTAATATCTTTCTATTTAGCCTAGAAGTCAAACGTTAACTGGCACATATATCCTCAGAACAGGCATATTTCCAGAGAAATCATAATGCTGGTAAGAAAATGAAATGCAAACAACATGTAGACTTAGAAATCCTGACTTGTGGGAGCGATCACTGAAGTTGAGGCAACTCAGTATCTCTGCAGCTTGTCCTTTAACGATTGTAATTGGATTTATTCTAAAGGGGGACTTTACAGTTACGCAAACATACAATACATTTTTCAAGCCCTGATTTGTGCCATCTTCTCAGTTACTTTCTGCCACAGTGAATCCTTGTATGGAATATCAGACGACCTAATTTCATTGCATTCATAGGAGAATGAAACTGAGCTCTCAGGAAGATCATACATTACTGAAGGAACTGTGGGGCTATGGAGGAAGCAAACATGACTCCATCACAGCACAGTACTCTAGCACTTCCCTCTTGTGGCCTTGAAGATTAGATTTACTCCACATCTATTCTCCTGTAAGTTTCAGTGAATGGTTCAAATAATGCTTTTAAATGACTAGAGCAAGTCTTCTGTCAGCAAACTTTGTTGCTGTTACGTATCATATGCTCAGCCTCTAACACCTGCATCAGGAGGAACTACAAAGTTGTAACTGACAGGATCATCTAACTCTTAGCAGAATGGTAGTTATTAAACCAACATAAACGTATTATGCTGGTCTAACACCACAGCTCCACAAACATGAACTTAGCACTGACTGGCACATCTCCCATTGACTACTTTCACCTTCCATCGTCATCACCAGAAATGTTTGTATAGTCATCTACTCACCTAGAGTAAAACTAATTCAGCAAAACAAAAGAGAAAAAAAACACAGAACATTTGTCTTTCTAAAACACTATAAATACCTTTTTTCACTACTTCTGGAAGGCCATCAGGCTCACTGTCTGAGTCTTCCTGACACAGCAGATATTGAGAAATATCATCCTTTTTTTTTTTGGATGAAGTCTCTGGCACAGGGGATCTTGGTTCTCCATTATCTTTCATGTTGTCTTCGCATCTCTGTCTTTTACTTGAAAGCTTAGTAGTTTCTTCACCTGACCTCATCTCTTTGACAGACTGATTTCTCACTGTTAATGAGTTATCCAAATTCAGCAAAGGAGTGCTGACAGCATCACTTGTTGGCTGTTTCAGCTGAGCACTCAACAAACTGACTTGTGTTTTTAGCATCTCATTTGCTTCCTCCAGTTTATAATATTTAACAATTAGAGAGCAGTATTTCTCCAAGTTCTCATTTGCTTCTCTGGTTTTCACTTCTGTAAATTCCTGTAATTCTTCCAGTTTTAACTTAATTTCTTCTGTAATGGCATTCTCATTGGCACCTTTCAAAGCAAAATATCATTATTCATATAACTAACATTAAAAAAGATGCATATATAAGAATTTATAATGCAATCGTCAGACATCTTTTCATGAATTATACATGTTCTAAAACCATGCAACTATAAAAAAATGACTGACAGTGTATAACAAAATCAGTAATATGTTAGACATAATAATGTATTTGCTAAATAGAGAATGAACATGCAAAAATGGTAAAGAATCCGTGACCAGTGCATGGGCAAAGATTTTCCTTGTCATTTTGCAATTTCTGAACACTTGAGTTTCTCTAAGTTAGTAACTCTTACTTTCGTTAAGTATCATTTACAATACAGTGCATCTCATGAGATGAGCCGAAACATAAAGAATAAAGCATGAGAATCAGATAGGAAAGCTTGCTGGAAAACAATAAAAAACTTGTACATAAACTTCAGTTATTAGGAAAAACACTCTCGTTCCTTAAATCACTTTCAACTGCAAAAATGTAATATTTAAAATATATATTCAAAATCCAGAGTTGCCTCTGATACTTTAAAAAAAGATGAACTAGATTTTGAAAATGTTTGATACATTTGCAGTTGTACTTTTTAATACTAGTTAAGAATCACGCTCTTTATTAGAGCTGCATATGTAAATGGACATTTTAGGGAAAAAGAGTTTTACAAACTAATGCACTGCTAAGAAAGCATTGAGTCTAGATTCACCTACCTTCTTTCTGACACTTTGACATAGTTAGATTTTTCTTGTTTAATAGTTCGTCACGTTCAACTAGTTGTTTCTGCAACATTTCCTTTTCCTGTTCCATCTCCTTACAGGACTTCATCCACAGCTGCACTTGACTGTGGGCAAATTCATTTTCCTTCTTCAGTTGAGCTATAATGTTAATATTATCTGCCTACAAAATAAGAAACGCAGTTATTACACAAGAAATGTAATTCTTCCATTTAAACATCACAATGTCAAATGGAAGCTCAACTGTTATGCAATATTAGCTGCAGAGCACAGTTGCAATGTGTACTTGTTTGCTTTTGTCCATACAACCTCAGCATAGCAGTTCCTTTACTGTAGGAAACATGGAAGTCGAGTATATGCAGGTGATTAACTCGGCAGAAAAACAACAATTCAAATACCAACAAAGGAGACTTATTGTCTTCAGATACATCAACAAATTATGAACGTTCAGATTACTGGCGTCAAGACTAGCACCCTACCCATGAGAAAGCCGTATGAACTCTGAGACAGCAGTCCTTTCTCCATCTGTTACCACTTCATTGGCGCAGCATAAGAAAGCGTGGCTCTCCAGGTAACAGATTTCAAACCAATACTCTAAATTTTAAAGTGCTCTCTCCTAGTCTGAGTCCCCTTTATTCTTCTTTTTGTCCCTAATGCATCTTATTACCACAGAAGCAAGATAACCCAGGCCTGCTTTGCACTCAAATTCCAGCTCAAAAATACTATTCTGAGCCACAGCAGATCATTCCTTTCCATCCAGTTCCCCTCTGTCCTGGTTTTAGCTGGGACAGAGTTAGCTCTTCTTTTTAGCAGCTAGAAGAGCTCCGTGTTTTGGTTTTACTCAGAGGCTCACTTTGAGAAGAACGTTGATAGCAAGCTGATGTTTGTAGTTGGAAGTGAAACTCCAAGGACTTTTCAGTGTGCTGTGTTCTGGCCGGAGTGCAGAAGCACGGTGGGATAAGGGGGGAGCATAGCCGGGACAAGGGGGCCACGATTCCCTGTCGGGGGAGTTTCTGGCTGCTACATGGACTAAACAGAAAGCACCTGTGCCTCATCAAGACAGGTGCTGAGTCACGTTGGTCAGCCAGAGATCACGTGACCCATGGAGGCTTAAAGGCGGGGCACTCCCAAGAGGGAGTGGGGCAGTTCCCTCCTGGAGACTGGAGTGGTAGGAGCCCCTGGAGAGTGTGAGTTGGAACTCTCTGTTGGATTGAGATAGCAGCGAGTTTGGATCAGTCTTCTGATTGTGAGATACGTCGTGGTTGCAACAGCCGTTTGGTTGCGACCCACTGTGAGAAGATACAGGCAGTCCGCGACGATTCCCCTTGTGATTTGTGGTGGAACTTAAGATTGAGGGCCAAACTGGCCAATTAGTATTCCATATCATGCAGCATCATGCCCAGTATAAAAGTGACGGACAGCCGGGAAGAAGGGCTTTTTGCGCTTTTGCTCATTCGCCGCTTCTGCTCTTTTGCGCTTTTGCTCTATTGCCTTTTTTTTTTCCTCTCTCTCTCCCAGTACTCCCACTCTCGGAGTACCATCTCTCTCTCTCCCTCTCTATTTTGAGGCCTTGCGTTCGTCTGGGATTGCAGCTTCGGGATGAGACGGGCTTCGCATAAGAGGGGGTGGTGAGCATCTACACTGTGTAGTACTTATCTGTATTAAATTGTTCTTCTCTCAACCCACGGGTTTCCTGTTTATCCTTTAATTCTCTCCCTCATCCCTGGGGCTGGGGGACGGTGAGTGAGTGACTGTGGGGTTTGGTTGCTGGAGCGGCCTAACCCACAACACCCTCTCCTGGGCTGCTCCCTGCTCATCTGGTCTGCTACCAACCTGTCTGCAAATACCACACAGTGAGCACAGCTGGAAGCCTTGTATGATACATTTCCACTGCCATGGGTACTGTTTTCTGTCACTGGCACACATCCTATATCATTGGACTGCTGGTATTAAACAAATTAACACCACAGTGGAGGGCTCTATGGAATAAAGAACTGTTGAGCAAGATGAACGTATTGCAATTCAGTGTTTACTTGCAAGTAAATTGAATTGACTATGTTTCTTCAAGAGTACGTTTAGAGAGATACTCATTCCTGAAGCGGGAGGACAGAATTGGAGTCAGCAATCAATCACAGACAGAAGTCGAACAAGAGTGAAAAAAAAAAAAAAAAAAGACTGATGAGAAGAATGCAGGGGAAATTAATACAGAATTCAGTTATATGGGCAGTTAAACTTCACCTGTGCTACTAGAAAGCAAAGCAAGCACATCTAGCACTGTTCTCAGCTACCGGTCGTTCACACTATGTGGAGCTCATATTCTATCATCACTGAGAACAGTTCTGTCATTTAAAGAATTACACTAATTAATAATTGTAATGTGAATTCTATATAAAATGGAATTGATAAACTCTCAAGAATCAAGAGCAATGTATCAAGATTAACGCTTAAGACAGAACATGGTATCTTTTATCATCAAAGTAATTCACAAACAGAACACAGAGGCACTGCAAAATCTCTTTGTTTGTATTCTAACCACGTAATAAGCCAGTTGCAATGTTAAGCACAGACAATAGGCTGCTGTGTTTAGTACCACATAAACCAATTCTAGGTGATCTCAGTCCTGGCATACCTAACAGAATTTTCTAATGTAGATCAATACTAACAATGTTTCCTCTCTGCTCTGTAGTGTCATTAGTGAAACAAAGGCTGTGTCAAAGTCAAGCCAAAACTCTGCAGCACTGGTTCCCAATCCTATGTTTATTTTACTACATGGTGCCTTGGGTCTCACGTAATTGGCAATGCTTACATATTTTTTTCTTACCTTAGTTTCTAGCAGTTCTCCTAAGGTTTGATTAGCTTCTTTAAGGGAATTATTTAGTTCTTCTTTATTTGACTTCAAATGCTCAATTTCCAATTTTTGTGAGTGGATAAAGTGCTCCAGCGAATTCATCTTATCTTGACAGGCCTCAATTTCTACTTCATTCTAGAGAAAGAAAATGTGCCAAATACTAAAAAGGACATCGAGTTGTATTTTAAAGATGTGCTTAAGTGTATAGCACAGCCCAAAGGAATACCACAGCAAATTTGCTTGGTACATTTTTGAGGAGTTTAAAACTAAAAGAGCAATTTGTCTCAAGTATATGTTTTGAATACTAGAACCTTGCCTTTAAGAAGTTACCCTCAGCAAGTTCGCCAATGACACCAAGC